TCCTTATGCAGATTTCTGCAAAATAGAAGATGTCTAACTAGTGGAAGACTCTTATTTTCATGGCGTGAGTGGGAGAGTTTCCAAAGGGTCAGTGTTATTGAAGATAAGTTCTACTCTTTATCAAGGAGTTGGAAGAAGCCCGAATTGAAATGGAGGATGTAATTTAGTCGTTTTTGGGTTTTTTCGCCTTCTGTATTAGCAAGCATATAAGAAACAATTTAATTCTCATTACATTTTAAAGGCTGAGCTGCAGTAGCTCAGAAGCAGTTGAATTATTCCTTCTGCTGGAGTAAACTTCAGTCAAAAGAGGAGGCTGGATGTCTGGGGGTGGTTACCACATCAACCATCTGTTTTTACTGGTACTTGAGTCACAGCCCACAGTTGTCTCCCTTCTCCTTTTCCCTCAGCTCCCCCTCATCCCCATCCCCAACACGTAGTTTAGCTGCTGGTGCATCTTTGAGGTGGAGCCACGCTTTTAGTCCTTTTCATCTGTGTTAGAAAATAAGTTTTGTTCCCTGTACCCCCTACCCAGTCTGGGATCAGGTGATGAACGTAGCTCACCGAGCGGAGTAAGCTGATTCTTTGTGTTGCCTTACTTCCTTAAACAGCCATACTATGCCATCTTTCATCTGTTTTTTCTAGTGCATGTCCTGTAACTCTTCTCCCTCTTGGCACAGGGTTCGGTTTTCTTCCTAAATCTTTCTGTATAATTATGGTCTTGTTTACAGGCAAAGTACTTCAACTTTTCTAGACCTTTTCAGTAGCCAGCATGGTAGCAAGCATTTGTGATGTCTGAATGATGCTGCTTTTCATCTTTTCCATGAAAGAGGAACAACAGAATTCAAAAGAAAAACTTCTCTAGGGTGACGGCCTTGGCAGCTAACTGGAATGTTGGAGCTCAGAGCTGCTTTGTAAATAGGGGGGGGAGGAGGAGGGTATGACATGAAGTGGCTTAACTCATGGGAAGAGGAGACCGAAGAGGAAAACTAGAGCAGTTAAGCAGTAGCACAAGCACTAGAATGTGAGTTGCATTTGGTGAAATTACAAAGAAATAAAGTATAAAAGTTTTTCCCAAGTGTACACAGTGTTGTTACAGTTGGGCTAGAAGAAGCTCTGTCCAATCTCATTCAGTTTCTGTGTTGCTGAACTGTGCAAAATTTTTAGATACATCTGTACAGTTCAAAAAGAAGATATTTCATGTCTTAAATCAAGCAATAAAAAAAGTTATAAAAATGTTATTGCTGTGGTACCTGTTATTATACAGAATGACATTGTAAGACAGAAGTTCCAGAATAACAAAATCAGAAATGTTCTCCCTGTTCTTACCTGGTATTCCCTTACCAGGAATATATAATATTCCCTTATATTGATATGCTAGGCTGTGAACTTACAAATATTCATATTTAATAAGTTTTTGACTTTTGGTATTGGTAAATCCCTTCTCTTGTGCTTCCTTGGGGTTGGTTAAATGTGCAAAGTATTCCATATTTTCTGAAATGTTTTTTCCAGTGCTTGTGGGTAAACTGTTAAGTCTAAAAGTCTTTTGCTATTTTGAACAATTTGCATAAAATGGGAGTTTCAACTGACAGAAGCACAGTTACCTTTGTGAATGTAACTTAAAAGACTCTACGAGTCCATGTGTTTGGAAACATTGCTGCCCTCTGTGGTGCAGAAAGATTTTGATTTTTTTTTTACGGTGAGATTTTGATATTTCCATTCTGTGGTAGAATAAAACAATGTCTCTTACTTCCATACTGTAAACAAGTGAATTGTAACTGCAGTTCCGAGTTTCACCTTAAAAAACCTTTTTGCTGTTTTGCCAGAGGGAAATACATTTTTTGTCTACTAAGTAAGCAGGGATTGAATCGGCATTTAAGCGCTTCGTTTGTAGGAAAGATTTCCTTTTAAGGTTGTCTGCGACAATAGAATCTTAATAGGAATTGGGAGTCTGTTGTAAAGTGCTGCTGGAATATGTTATCGATTTAAAGCCATGAATACAAAATCTCCAAATATCACTCTTGCTTTCAGAGCCGAATAGAAAGCACCTCAGCTTAAAACACCTGAGGAAAAATACACTGCTGTTCTGAGGCTGTTCCAGATCAGCCCCCGACAGCGACACCGTTGTTGGAGTTTCTCACTGCCCTACAGCCTGTCTGCGGAGAATTCCACATTTGCTGTTCAGCATGGTTTTGTGGGTTGCACAAGTATGGCTTTGTGAACCACATTTAACAACCAGTGCTTGCAATCGCAGGGCAAATTAGTGTAGGAATAGAGTTTGGGTTTTATTCTTTTCCTGGTTTAGTTTGACAGTAGCTGTTATACTACTGTCCATAAGATGAGTCTTCCATGGAAAAAAGGGAGGTAGACATGAATTTTGTAGTTGTTTTCAACATCAAGATCTGGCAAAAAACATTCACCAGATACACAGGAGAACCAGTTTTAACTGGATTTCACATTTATTTTTGGAAAAACTGCAGAGAGGAGAAACAGATTATTGTAATTGTGAGGATGTCTCAGAACATCTCACATTTTGAGAACTCTCTGAAAGTGGGAAAACCAGTGAGATTACACACACCCACAGTAGTTTAAATATACAAAAAGGTGCACAAGGCAGCTAACTAGTGATATTTGGTCCACAAAAAGAGAACCTTGGCTTTCTTTCAGAGGTGGATTTTTTTCTTAACCTCACACTTTGGGGCTATTTATTATATCTACATTTCATACTAACAGTGAAGATGGGATAGAATGAAGCATTCTCAGCTTCAGTGTGTTTTGCAGTTGACATGAAGGGCCCTTCATGTCAGGAGATAACACACAGAATTTTCACAACCTGAAGCAAAATCTTTTTTGTAACTATTTTTATCGTCCAGAAAGCATGAGCAGCTGGGTGGGGGCGTGAAGAATGAGAAGAGTTTGGAACAGAATGTCTTGAGTGTGTAAGTGGTCATATTTGTGAGCAAGAAACAGTCATCTCTCCCTGAGAAGGGTAGAATACAGAATCAATACTGAGCCTGTTACAACATTTGAAACAGGAAAAATCATGCAAAGGTAAAATGTAAAAAAGCAACAATCCTTGGTAAAACACTACCTCGTTTTAAATATGAATGAAATTTGGAAGACGAGTGAAGGCAAAGGATGGTGGACATTCCCGTGGCTCGTAGCCTTCTGTTTTTCTAGGGAGGTAGCACTAAAGCATTATTTGTAACTGTCAAAATGATATGAATGGACCATGAATCTTGAATACATACATTAGTAACAAACACTGACTGATGTAAATGGCTCATAAATAGGTAAAGTGACGTAAGTACCTGTATGTTAATTTGCTGCGTGAAGGAAATGTGAAAGCAGGCATCCCAATATATAAATTACTGCTTGCCTGTAAATTCTGTAGGAAAATTACTGTCGTTGTTCTAGCTTTACAAGTATTAAAATGAAGTATGAGTATTAAGCAGTTAATATGGAGAAGTTCAAATTAAAGCGAATAAAATTGAATATAGACATTCTTTAAAAGTACAAAAACATATTTTAAGGAATGGCATCATTCTATAGGGCATTTGTACTGACTATAGCTAATAGCTTGCTTACCCTTAAAACAGGTTACTGAAGTACGAGCCAGCTGTATACCTGTAGTTCAGCCTACCTTAACTGAGTTCAGATTGAGCCGTTTGCATCTCTTCATGTCATTCTTGTATCTCCATAAACAAATAGTGTTCTTAGCTCTTACTTTATAACATCACTATTGAATACACCGGGTTATTCTTCAGATTTATTGTTATTTTGCTAATTTTGTCATCTATTCCCTTTTCTTTGAAATAACAGCTGCTGGGGAGTAGCTGGCTTTGTACTTGGTCTCATGACAAGAATGTGAATGCGTACTAAAATGTAGCAATTTTTTTTTTGTCTTTCAATCTTCAGATTTCCTGTTTAAGTTCTTGGTCATAGGAAATGCTGGGACTGGAAAATCCTGTTTACTACACCAATTTATTGAAAAGAAATGTAAGTAGTGTGAGCACAGTCAGAGTTCTCCATTGCTTTGTACCACAGATGAAGGCTGTGCCTGCAGGAATATATATTCTTTGTACTGAAGTTCCCATAATTGTCTTATTTGTGTAGATGAGGATTTTAACTGGGAATTATGTTCAGAACCATGCTGTAAAATCTTTATTGCTTACTATTTGCCTCTAATCAAAAGCCTGATATTGAGCAGTATTGTCTATTACTCTCAAATAAGTACAACAGGATATTGATGAAAATACAGACTTTTCGTAAGAATTACATCTTGCAGCTATAAGCTTCCCTAGAGACTTGACTCTGGTAGAAAAAATACTGAGCAGGTGAAAAAGAAGTTGAATTGCTTGAGTAGATTTAGAAAGCCTGTTGGACAGAACTCGAATCTCCCAACATCTAGTCTCTTTTCTAAATAAATTCCATGTTCTTTAAGGACTGTGTTATCATAGAATCATAGAATGGTTTGGGTTGGAAGGGACCTTAAAGATCATCTGGTTCCACCCCCCCTGCCATGAGCAGGGACATCTTCCACCAGACCAGGTTGCTCAGAGCTCCATCCAACCTGGCCTTGAACCCTGCCAGGGAGGGGGCAGCCACAGCTTCTCTGGGCAACCTGGGCCAGTGTTTCACCACCCTCATGGTGAAGAATTTCTTCCTAATATCTAATCTAAATCTGCCCTCTTTTAGTTTACAGCCATTCCCCCTTGTCCTGTCACTACACACCCTTGTGTTCTATGGTAAATACTGGTAGAAACTCCATTGTAAATGTTATTTAGAGATAAATAGATGGTAGAAAATTTCTGTTGAGTAGTGCATTTAGCATCATGATTAAACAATACGCATCTAGAAACTTTTGTAAATCTAAGGTGGCTGTTACCTTTCTCAACCAAATGGTAATTCACCTTATCTCCTGAGGAATAGCTCTAGGATAATAATGTGTAATCATTAAGGAGCATGGCATGATTCTGTGATTGAACTTGAACCGTGACCTTGCTGCAGGAAAGGGCAGTTGTATATTGCTGAGAATCTGTGATATCAACAGTGTACATAGAGCAGGTATCTTAACTTCGTGCTTTAAAGAAGTAGCTCTTGCTTATTCATGGGCAAGACTGTGTCTTTTTGTGTTCTGCTTGTCCATGAATATTAATTTTAAATCACATTAAAGTATTAGAAAACATAATTGGGGAAAAAAGTGTACACAAGTTATCTTGCTGTTTATTAATGTGAACTGGGAATGATTTCATTAAGACAGGCCTTTCTAGTAGTCATTTTGAATTGAATAAGGTATTAAAAAATTGTAAAAATGTTTATTTCTGCGTGGTGGCAGTAGCCTTGTGAATGGCTCTGAATTTGATGGTTCAGGAAGTAGTTTCTAATTTGAACGCTGAGGAGCTTTGATTATACCTGAATTGGATTATGCAAAAACTAACTATTCACTCTAAATATGCTCCAAATAAGTCTGTTTTGTTTTTGTTTTGTTTTTTGTAGTCAAAGATGACTCAAATCATACTATAGGAGTGGAATTTGGTTCAAAGATCATAAATGTTGGTGGTAAATATGTAAAATTGCAGATATGGGATACAGCAGGACAAGAGAGATTCAGGTACCCTTTTCAATCACATTATTAAGTGTTTGTTATTAAATTGTTGCTGTGAGTGTTGGGTGTTATTTATCCCTGCTTACAAATAGGCATAGTTTCTTGGTCAGTGGAGTTGTTTGCGTTCATGTAAACTAGGCCAGATCCTCCAACTTGAACACAGCGACGTAGATCCGCTGATGTCAGTTAAGCAATGCTGTCTGGCAGGATCCGAGGTTCTGCCCTTTCTTTCATTGGGTATTTCCTGTGATAATTAAGGTACGTGAGTAGAATATGTGACTAAAAGTTTGTTCACCAAACAAACTCAGAATAGTTTTTTAACTAGCTGTGTGTACTTAACTCTGTGTCTAGAAGGCCTTCTATTGGTTGGAAGGAATAAATGCCAGGAAGTTGTAAGCTGTTCAATATCTGCATGAGAACAATTTCCTAGTTTAAAATTATTTTATTAGGGGGAAAAAAAGTCAGTTGTCAAGTTCAGTTGGTTAAATACACTTCTAAAAACTTAAGACATCTCAGACTTTGTTAAAGAAAAAGCAGTGTATGTGTCAGCTTAGAACCATCAATGTACTTTTAATGCAAAGAAGTAGTATTGTACATCTGAGGCGTAGATCAGACTCAGTAAAGATCTAATGTATTCCTGAGTACATTCACCATCAAATAGGACATCAGTTTTTTATATTTTGGGGGGATGTGGGAGGTTTCTTTGGTTTGGGTGGGGCGTGGGGGCAGTGGTTAATAAAGGTGAGTACGGTGGTAGAAGTCTGAGTAATGGGCAGCAAACCAGGTAAATGTCCTCTAGTAAAGCAGTTCTTTGGATACACCCGTGACTAGGTAAAACTGAGCAGCACTATGTAGGAGTCTCCATTAATGAGATCTCTTCAATGTGTTGGCCAAATATTCTGAGGAGCTTGGAGGCTCTGAACTTCCAGGGGCTTGTACAAATTCTGCTTGTTCAAGGTCAAAGTGTTCACAGACTTGCAGGTGCTTTTTCTCCTGTTGCTTTTTATAGTTTATCTAATTCTTTTGTTTTTAAGGCTGATCACGCCTTTGCATGCTTAGGGTTTTTTTTTCTTCTTCCTCTCCCTTGTGAAGGATGCTTTGCTTTGCTTGCCTTGCCTCCTCCTTCTGCGACTTAAGGAGTCTTAAATTGTTCAGTTACAGCTACTTTGGTCATTCTCTCCTCACTGCTGAGAGTTCAAACATAAGTTAATTATACTGTTTTCATGCCACAGATAATCACCATCAGCTCCCAGTTCTATATCAGGCCATATAGTATGAAGATATGTGTAGCTTCAGCAGCCCACAGGCCATAGTGGACTTTGAGAATCCCTGTACAGCTATGTTTAGTGAAAGTGCTTCATCAAAAGTCTAGCTGTAAATAGTCGGCTGCTGCACAGCTGGTAGTGTTGTCTAAACCCCACATTTTATTTTAAATACATAAATGAGAATTGTTTCGTAATATAGATCGCATTATATTAACCCAGATTTGAAACGACGAAGGTATTACAGAAATGTGCATCTGTAATTCTATTTCAGGTCTGTAACAAGGAGTTACTATAGAGGAGCTGCAGGTGCTTTGCTTGTCTATGATATAACCAGGTAAGAAGGCTAGCAAGTCTTTTGCTTACAGACTACCAGATGCAATTAATGCCTAACCACTCCCCCCCCAAGTAGCTAATTCTCTGAAGGAGAGCGGGCAGGAAAAAAAAAAAGCATAAAAAGTGCTTCTGTTTTAGTGCATATCTAAGTTCTAGAACTTGCTTACATGAGATATTGTGAATGTCATAAATGTAAATGGTCTCAAATGATTAGACAAATACATGGGAATTGGCCCATCGGTAGCTGTGCTAATTGTGGTGGTCTACGTGCAATCACTGGCTAGGGAAGCCTTGCAACAGAAATTCAGAGCAGACTTTACCCACTTTTAACCAAGGTAGTACACCCCTATTTGTGGAAACTACTTATTAGTATGCTGGTGTAGTAGCAGGTCATCCTCTCAAGAAGCTGGTTGTACCGACACATTCCTTAACCGTAGCCCAAAATGCTGTTCATCTCTGCATCTTTTAATATTTTAATATTTACAGGCAGCCAATAGAATACCTTCCCATTACCCATTTCCACATTTTTTCTTGGCCGTCATTGACTGATACTTGTCGGAGAAGTTGTGGGTTGGTTAATGATGATTCGCTGCTTCTGTTGCTTTCTGTCCTGCGAGTGGACTGTTCTCCTCTGAGCGGACTTTGAAATCTGTGTTTTGTGCTTAAGCTCGGCTGGACTCACCCAGTCTTGGTGCTTCGAAGGCTTTATCTCTCACCACCACTGCTATGACTAATGGTGTGTGCAGAGTAACTGCCGGCAGTATTACAGCTCTGAACACAAATGTGGAAGTTCAGGCACACAATTCGCCACAGGTGGAGTAAATTCCTGTAGTCCCACCTGAAATTTATCTATCACTTGAACTCCACCTTAAGCTCATTCTGTTATCCCAGAATTTCATGTGCAAAAGGCTGAAACTTGATTAGTGCTTAAAATTTTAGCTTTTCACATGAACAGGGTATTTTATAATTGTGTATATTTATTTATATGTTGCGGTTGATTTAATTTTGCTTTTGAAAAACTTTAAGCCTGTAAATACTTTCGTGAAGGGACTTGACACTCTTCCCAGTTCATAGCTGGCATATTGAGATGTGTAGGTGGCTTGTCTGACTAGCACCAGTTTGTGGTTTGCCATAAATGTAGATTTGCCTTCTGAGTTTTAGTTCAGTGCTTTGTTCACTAGAAATGAGCGAGTTTTAATAAAGCATGTCATTTTCTACATAGCCGGGAAACCTACAATGCACTTACTAATTGGCTGACGGATGCAAGAATGTTAGCAAGTCAAAATATTGTGATAATACTGTGTGGAAACAAAAAAGATCTTGATGCAGATCGTGAAGTGACGTTTTTAGAAGCATCCAGGTTTGCACAAGAAAATGGTAAGTAGTACAGAATGTTCATGTAGCATTCAAACATGCTTAATACTTTAAATTTTTGTGTGTGTATGCAGTTAGGGAGTACTTTGCCCGCTGTACCTTGTCAAATATCTACAGAAAAGAGGGTTCTGTCAGTACATGAGGCATAAAGAGAGGACAGTGCCTGCAGCGAGAACTAGATGTACTATTGAAGTCTCATTACCAGTGATGCTTCCAGTCACAGCTCCTATTTAAAGAATATCTTCAATGTGGAGATAAGTTCCCTAGGGAATGTAACACAACTTCAGGTATTACCTTGCCTCCAAAGGGCAGAGGAGAAAATGGAGAGCACTATTTCCTAGTTTTCAGCACCTTATAGATTCTATAGGTTATTGACAAGGTTGGATGGGGTGTGCTGCAGTTGGAAGCAAGGAGTTTTACTCGTGGGAGAAAGAGTTCAGTGCATGGTGTGGATCCAAAGGACTGTTACCTGGTCTGTATTATTCATAATTTCCAGTCCTTGAGGACACGTTTCTGTGGCAGCTAAAGCCAGTCTCAGTCTGAGCTTCTGTGCTGCAGTCCTGCCATCAGTGAAATCCTGTTTTGCTTTTATAAATCAATTACAAATAGCCTTTTCTGTCAGCTGTGGCCCATGGCTGTCTTTTTGCATACAACTTTCTATTAGTGGGAAACTATATGAAGTTCTTTGGTTTCATGCACTATTTTGCACATACAGCCGAGGTTATTATCTTTGGATTCCAGCTTTATAGGGTTAATATATAAATTTCAGAGGATGTTTTTTCTGGTTTTAGGAGTTTTGCTGTCAAAAGCTAACTTTTCTGGACCATACTATTTCTCCTTAAGTTTAAGAAAGTTTTTATTCTTCCAAGTTTTCATGCTTTGAATTACTGTATTGGATATTCCAGACTTGTTTTGAGATTGTTTTTTGGGTGTCCAATGCAGAGCTGATGTTCTTGGAAACAAGTGCACTAACAGGGGAAAATGTTGAAGAGGCCTTTGTACAGTGTGCAAGAAAAATACTCAATAAAATTGAATCAGGTAAATCAAGTTTTATATTCTCTGAATGGTTTGGGTTTGTTTGGGGTTTTGTTTTTTTCCCCCCTGAAAAATGAAAGTACACGTGGAAATATCGCCATTCAAAGTTCTCTAGTCGAATTAACCCAATAAACCAAAATCTCATTGTGGTAAAATAACCCATGTGGTTTACAGCTGCTTCCCATATCCGTTGATAAGAATGGATATCTCGGTCAGATCTGTGTATCCAGAAGGGGTGGTGCAGTGATTTGTGGATGGGTTTGCACAGCGTTTACATTAATAGTCAGCTCTGAGTGTAGGCTGTGCAGTCTGTGCCTTGCTGTATCCCTACAAACATCAAGCCTGACATGAGATGTTTTTAGCAGTGCAGACTGATAGGTTTTTAGTATCAGGGCAGACATAACTTTTAATTCTGCTTCTCATATGTAGCAGGAAGTGTGGTCAAGATAATTTGAACAGTAATACTGAAAATTTCAGGGGTGTTTCCTAGCAACTGTGTTTCTCTGAAGTAGTCTTCCTGCCTTTTGGTTGCAACCGTATTTGCTTTTGTAGACTAGAAATACACGAGAAGCTTCTCAGCACAAGCAGGCGGGTTTCTGTCAGAGGCAGGCTCCAAAGTGTTAGGTGTCATTACAGCTAATTTGCATTCCGGTTTTTCTGTCTTTTCTTCTAGTTTGACATCTTCAAAGTTTTAGGTGTTGGCCATAGAGAAAAGTCTGTCTCAGACTCTAATTACACATTTTGAATGCCAAACACAATTTTATGAAAAGAATGTTTCATAGGTATTTTCATAGGAATTTCCTGATTACTACGTCAAATCAATGCCAAACAGCAGCTTTCATTTTAAGCAAACAAAAAAAAACCCCAGCCCCAAAGTATATCTAGTTTCTCATGATGCTGTAGTTCCATGACTGATTTAGAGGCATTACCACAACAGAACTAAGCCTTGTTTTCTGTGAGCTGCTTCTGTTTTCTTTGTGCCAGCACATATGCAGTGAATCAGGGAAAAACTGAGAGTGGAATGAACCTATAGAGCCCAGCCGCCTGTTTAAAGCAAGTTGAGGTTCAAAGTGAGAACAAATTGCCCGGGGATTGTTGAGGCACATTTTGAGATGCTCCAGGAATGGAGAGTCTGCATCTGCTCTGGGCAGGGTGTCCCAGTGCAAACCAATTGCTGCTGTCTATGTAGTTAGTCCTCAGCCTGTACCAGTGCGTGGGCTTGCACCACCACAGGTGCACGGCTCGGAGCGTGTAGTTGCTGAATATCGTGAGGTTTCTGCTGGCCTGTTCCTCTAGTTCAGCCAAGGTCTCTTCTGAATGGCAGCCCTACCCTCAAGCTAGCAGCTGGTGCCCTCAATGTGGTGTCACCTGCTAACTTACAATGGGCTCACGTGTGTGAGGAACCTGAATAAGTGATCTGAATTATTCAGGGAGATTCTCTTTTCTTTTTTTTCTTTTTTTAAAACTAAATGTTTCTAATCTTGGCCAGTTCACCATGCAGCCTTAAGAACACTTCTGAAGGCACAGGGCACGGAGCAGGCAGAAACGGATCCCAGAAGTAGGAAAGCTTGAGATCATTTCCCCTGGGGGCAGTGCTTTAGGGAATCCTGCTGTCAGATTGATCCATTTTTGCTTGGCTTGGTGTCTGCTGTGCTTTCTCTGAATATCAGTCTCTGAAAGCAGGTGGTTTTTAAAAGCGTTTGCAGAAAATGTTTTGGACGCTTCCTTTGTTAGAAGTAGCTAGTGCCAGTACATTTCTCGTGGCAGCGCGACTTGGAGACAAACTGCTTTGTCATGATGACTAAGGACACGGTTGGAATTACAGGATAAGATGATACAGGTTTGGAATTGCCTAAAAGTAAACAGAATTGCAATAGATCTCTCCATAACTAGAGCAGAATATCATTATGCATTTTTATCTAGTGTCGTCAGTTAAATTGGAATGTATTATTTGCAACTGATCCATCTTCTTGTGACCATTTTGTTTCTCATCAGGAGAACTGGATCCAGAAAGAATGGGCTCAGGTATTCAGTATGGAGATGCTGCCTTGAGACAGCTGAGGTCACCACGTAGAGCACAAGCACAAAGTGCTCAAGAATGTGGGTGTTAAAGAAACAAAACACAAAATCCCAAATACTCACTTCAGATACGGAAGGTAAGGTTAGAAAAGTCTCAGGGTGTGGGGTAAATTACCGTATTTTGTAAATGTGCTGTATCGAGTGCTTGGCTTTTTCGCAGTTAGCCTGTAAAGTAGTATAGAGTGTAGTGAAATAATGCAAAATTGAATGGGTTTTTTTAATACACTTTTGATTTTTCTTCTAACGTCTGCCCACTAAAGCAAGACTAGTGCTCTTACTGAAGTATTTATAGATCTTTGCTTACTCACAGTAATGCTGTGGAAAACATTTTAAAATTCTGTGTTCTTGAAACACATTATAGCCCTAATAGTTACCTAATGCGCTGTAAAGAAGGTGAATCATTTCTGTTGTCTCATGGACAACTGTTACTAGAAATGAGAACGCACAAAACGTGTAGTGCAGTATCTTGCCCAAAGCTATTATACAGGCTTTTCTGAAATACAAAGTTTAAAAACTGAGACTTGAAAATTAAAGGTAATACTGGATGTCAAACTTGCACTGACTTTTTCCCCCCCCCCCCTGCCTAAAACCGGTCCAAAGGGGTTCTGATTCCTGTCTGCTATGAGCAGAAATGTCAGTAAGAGCAGTAGTATTTGCTGCTTAAGCAGTGTTGTTGGCTAACGCAGCTCTTCCAGGACTGGTGCGGCCTATGGAACGGGTGTGCAGTCTTCTGCAAGTCTTCCAGAAATATCCTTCGAGGGGGAAGCGACCTAAAAGTCGCACAGCCCGCTCCTGGGAACAGCTCCGTGGTTGGTCTTTCTTGTAAACCATTGTCCTTAAGGCACCTCTCAGTATGCATGGATTCTGCTTCCCTCCTAGCAGTACCTAAGTGGCTGTCGGGACAGTCCTTTCTCCCTCGCTCAGCGAGGCTCATTAAGGAATTGCTGTGTGGTTAATTATTCTGATATAATTAATCCTTATTTCTCTCACAGGAGGACAGTGATACCAAATTAAACAAGTACTGCAGGCATAGTTCCTGCGTCATTTTTGCTGTGTTCATTTTGTATCGGCTTGGGCTGTGCACACCAGCAGAGGCCTTACAGAACGTTCAGTAAGGCAGCACACAAGTCTGCATTCTCGTATTTTGTTCCGTATTCTGGGAGCTTAGCTCCCAATTAAAGCTTAGAATTTCAAATAACGGATAGGAATCCTTGAACTGCTTTCCTCCCTTATTTTCCTCCCATAAAATCATCCTTCAACTGAGAGGCTGCTGGAAAGGGGCATTAATTGAGCTCAGCTTTGGTATGGCTCTGCAGGAGTGAGTAGTTATTGATCTTATCTCAGGAGCTGAGAGATTGATCAGAGGTAGAAAATTGATGGAGTTCTTGTGTATTTTACAGCTGTCCTTGCAAACGGTGTTTGAAGAAACAGACAAAGCGTGAAGGCTATGCAGTTTTTAAAAACATCTTCCCGCCCTCTGCAAACAGAGCAGACCACTGCTGACAGAAGGGTGTGGTGTGGGGCAGGAACGTTCACACGGCACACAAAGCTGCAAAGCAAACTTGGTAACCCGGTGGACAATATTAAGACTCAAACCTGTACGTAAACATTTTCCTTTAGCTGTTTTTGTCCTTTCACCTCTTGTTTAAAAGCATTGCTATATACTGTAAATAATGTAACGGTAAATTTACAAAGCACGGTATACTTACATATGCTGATCGAATGTTGCACTACAAGCAGTTTAATATTTTATTTTTTTATCATATAAACAAATTTAACTGAGGTAGGCTTTGTCATGTTTGTTTGTTGCACAATAGTTTATATTTATGACACGAATTATAAAACCACTGGCGCTGTCAGGGCTGGTTGTCTTATTTTTTTCCTACTTGGTTTGTGATGTTCTAACAAGCTGTTCACGGGACTGGTTCTCAACGTGTGGTTAGGACCCATACTTAGGTCAAGTTGGAAAAGTAATTTTTATTGATGTTCACATATCCTATTTTACCACAGTTCTTAAGTAACTTCTGAAGCTCTCTTACCAAACTTCCAAAGTTTAGAAAAAATACTTTGAAGTCTCAAAAAGTGGCTGTTGACTGACTTGGATGTTTTTCTTGGTCCTGATGTACTGTATAGCACTGGCACAATGAAGGTGGAACGTATATGTGAACAGAACTGCGCATCTTCTGTGGGTGTTGCAACTCTAAGGTGGGGCACGGGCTTACGGAGAATACTCGCAGCGGGAGTTCTCCCAGCCTCTTGCCACAGACAGCGCAATCAGCCGCGGAAATACGGTCTCTGTGGAAGCGTAGCTGGCGAGGTACAAACCGAACCCAAATGGCGGGTTCCAAAGTATCCTGCATGTGTGAGACTTAACATACTAATTTCTTTTTCTCAAACATTCATAAAGTAAAGAACTTGAATTTTAAAATTAGACTTTAAAAGTAGGAACTTACAGTCTGTTTTGCTGGGGCTCTACCTTTTGAACTTCATGTGATGCACTGTATGTAATGCTGTCCGCATTGCCCCCGGGAGACTTGTGTGATGGAAGGAAAGAGCCCAGCCTGCTACTGCTGTAGTGCTTTCTTCCTGTGAAACTCAAGGGGAATTTCAGCCTTGGTGCTGAGATTTATTTTTTTTCCTTATGTTAAAACACACAGTTCAGAGTTTCTTTCCTGCCCTCTTTTGTCCCATCCCTCTTCCCCACAATAAAGAGATGAGGAATCCTGTCCTCATTCCTCAGCTGGAGACAGAAGAGGCTTGCAGAGGGTGAGAGAGGGAGGACCGAACCGCCAGTCTTGCATATCACTTTTCCAGTGCCGTGACAGCTGCTCAGGCGAGAGCGCTGTGCCTTTGGGTTTGCCAGAGAAGGAGCTGCAGAGCTAAGCTGGTGTTTCTGGAGGGAGCTGAATTCATCCAGCTCAGGGGCACAATTCCACTTGCCCTGACAGAAATCACTAGTGACGTTTTTAGTTACTTGTGTAACTGGAAATGGGAAGTCTCCTTGGAAGTGCAGACTAACACAAAATATCATCAGAGCCCAGTACTGAAAGTCCAAGGTCAAACATGCCTTATTATTTTCTATACGCGAGTCTTTTCTATTTAACGGTTATTGTCAAATGTATGTTTAAAAACTAAACCAGAAAACTGATGCTGTAATTTAGAGGGCAGTTAGAGCACGAGAGCGAAGCCAGGAATGCTACACAGAGGTGTACCATATTCCATGGAATTGGAACTGTCTTTAAAACTATTCCCTTTGTCCTGGCATTTTTGGTTCAAATGGAGGCTTATCTGAGAACTACACACCTTGGGTCTCTCTGAATTAAAGGGAATTAAGTTTGCCTTGTACTTGAAAAGGCTAGGTTTAGTTTTAAAAAGGCTGTGGAGTCCAAAGGCCTTGATGTTGTCTCTCTCTCCTAGGTATCTTTTTATAGTTGGGATTGGATTTGTTAGGTAGCTGAGAACAGTTGTTCCCAAGGAGTGTTCTCTTCCTGGTAAGAGTGTAAAGTATTTTTGAGGCAGCTTAGCTGTGCATTTACAAGAACATCAAAGAACTCCAAAGAAACTTACCTGTCTTAGTCCTCACTGAATTTATTTTGGCTTCCAATACTCAGAAACGGAAGTAATTACGAAAAGCAGGTCCTCTGAAGTCAGTGTTGGATGCAGTTGTCCCCTCCACCAGTCCAAATGGCACGTTATTAACTGGGATGCGTTGTATTTCTGCCAGAGCTGGGGAGGGTGTTGGTTCTGAAACTCCGTTCTGGAACGCTGGGGAAAGGTGAACTCTTGGGGAGCCTGTTACCCCCTTACCGCACTCTAACTGGGTTTCTGGGCATACTGATAGGAGTGCACGCTGAGCAGCTGGGACACAGCTTGAGGAAACCTGAAGGTCTCTCTCATGTCATGGTGACTGTGGTTGAGGTGGTGTTGGCTGTGGATCACAACTGCTTTCCGTTACTGCAGCAGCAGCTGAAGGCAGGAGGGGGCTGTTGGGTTAGTCCTGTTGCTTTTGAACAGGAGCTGCAGGGGCTTGGCAGGGGTTTCCTTACGCTGCCTCCTGCCCTTCTCCCTCCGCATGCAAGACTGGTCTCTGCTGTACCTGGGTCTGCGGTCGTTCTGGTACAGTGTCTGTGGATAAGCAGCAGGAAGCACACTTCTGGTCTTTCTATAACCAGCTGGCTGAAGCTGCCGCCTTCCTATCTGGGAGGACAGAATAGCGTTGTCGTAACGAGTTTTGGTGTGTTTTTACCGTGTTTTTTTAATGTCTACTCTTCCTGTATACACATTAACCTGGTTAATGTGCATGTTTTGTAGTATTGCAACCTTTTATGCTGTATATCTATCTATCTTGCTGACATTTCAAAAAAGAAACTTTCTCAAATGGCAACTCCTGAGGGAAATACTGTCGGAAGCACGAGCTCTCACCAGTGCCAGCTATGTAGCTCGCTGCTTCCCCACTGAGGGTGTTTTAGCTCTGGAAAGAAACACCATGCCAGTAGCAGCCCTGGAGGAGATGTCAAGCTTCAGCGTTATAGTTCATGGAGCAAACCAAATGAGCTCAACTAAACTGTAAGTGATAAATAGGTTAAATTATGTTTGTTTTTTGTGTAAAATTCTTACTTTACCAAAGCAAGATGGCTTGGAGTTTTACATTAAATAATCCTGGATCCTAGGATTTATTGGATGTGGAGCTTTAGCTGGTCAGACCTTTAAAAGATGTTGATGTCTTATTAAAGCCTCTGTCTTGCCTTTTAATGAGTCTGTTGGCCTACACTATTTCATTTAATGCTTGTATCTAGCACCAAATAAAGAATCTTTCTTGATATTCTAGGTGTCTTACAGCAAGTTCTCTTTACTTGTACAAGTTTTGCTGGCTCAGTGAAGTCCATAACATGACAAAACTTGGATGGTCTTGAAAAAACCACTTCTGAATTCATTGTGTAGTCAGTAGGTGCCTGGGAAAGCAGCAGCACCTGAAGTGCTTCCGTGTTTTCTGGGAGCGGGGCCCTCTTTCCCCCTGCTGCTGCCAGCTCCTTGGAGAGGAACACCACCTCCCTTCCCTTCCACCTGTCCTTCTGCACCGAGGGCTGGATGGAGCTGCCTGGGTCTGTTGGAGGAGGTGGCTTCAGAAGTTAATGCTTTGAAAAAGCTGAAGCAAGGGGGCAGATGTTGCTTCAGACTGTTGGGCAACTCAGACTGAATTCACGCTTGACCCATCTCCCCCATTCTTTGTATTCAGGGAGGTACCTCACAGCCCAAAAGTACACAGCTCCTGTAAGGCCTTAAAAAATGAATGCTATTATAAAAAACATGATTACTTTGTGCAGCTCACTTGTATTATATTCTATATGCTGAAAGAATTAACACTATAAAAATCTCAAATACATTGTAAATCCAGGAAGTACATACCCCAGGTCCCTTTGATTTACTGTAGAACCAGCAGTAGCCAGAGCTTCAGTGGAGCCAGCCTTTAGCAGCTTCACTTTTCCTCTTTGCAAGATTGTACTTGTTCTTAGTGATACAGCTTCCTGTTTTCTCCTGCTACCCTCTTCCAAAGTTCTAAAATCAGATTCCCAAGAGCTTCAGCACGCACAGCGCTTCAGGCAGCTGTGATATTTGCAGCGCTGGTTTTTTTTCCCTGGTTGGTGGTAGAAAAAGCCAGTCAGACTGGGAAGGGGTTAAGAAGGAAGAGAGGGGACAAGCTCAGCTCTCAGCTGGACTCCTGCCTGTAACCTAGCCTGTTACCCAGGCAGTCACTGCAGGAACCTGTCACTCCTCTTCAGGCAGGAGGACATGGGATAAGCAGCAGCCACGAGGCCGCATGCAGAGACAACAGCTCCCGGTAATGGGAAGCCCAAGATGCCAGCAGCCATGGTACAAGCAGTCACGGCACTTGGTGTCACTCATTTTATTCACATACACAAGTTGACACTACATTATTAAATACAGACAATAGAGAAGCATTAAAAACAAACACTGTTTAAAAACTTTAAAAAACACATATTGCTTCAAGCTTAGATGGTATTTCCCTATAGTTTTTAAAGTGAATTCAGTGCTAACAACAGCTGAGGCAGCTTCCCATTCACTTGTACCCCTGATTTTGCAGGGGCTACTGTCAAGGTGTTGAATCAGGCTCCATGTATGGCTTTGCTGCTGAGTGCACGAACTGAGCTGGACAATGAACTGGAATCTCCAGGTCACCACACGTAAGGCCCTCAGATCGCTAGCTTCTGGCCCCTACCCCAGTAAAAAAAATAAAGCCAGAGGCCTTTATAGTTCAGTGGCACTGCATTATACCATTAACAAAAACCAAACAGAACAGATATACTTCCCTACATGTTAAAAATCTGATTAAAGTGTGCATTTGCTACCTGGATAAAATTCTTCCCAAAAATTCAGCTCTGTCCCTCAGTTTTCTTCAGATTGGCTCTAAGTTTAGCTACGACCTCGACTGTCTCGGCTCCCAGTGAAAGCATCTGTAATTCATAGTTGCAGAGATGTGACTGAGCAGGCATGCTACTGTATTTCACAGAGACACTCTTAAAGCAGTTTTCACTGTAACACTTTACACTGTAAACACCAGCCTTCACAACACTATAGTTAAGTTGCAGCATTACACATTGTAAGAGTCTCGTTTCACTTAGCTAAGTACTTTCAGAAACAAAAAGGAATGCACAGTTACTTTAACAAAGACTTTGGACAACCAAGTATGTGCGGTGTTCTTACAAAGTTTTACTTCTAAAACAGGAGTGAGAAGTGTTCGTTGCTTGGCTGAATTCAGAGTCCCTGCAAGACAAACTTCAGAGCTTCCTTAACTGACAGGGTGACATTTGCTAGGTTTTCCATTTTTTTTTAATCAGTCCAATTTGATGCAAACCAGCCACCTCCTGTAAGAATCTACGGAATAGAGTTAAAGCTTTTACACCTGAAAAGTTCTGCTTTCCAAGTCCCTGGGCTTTTCATTTGTTAACTTCGAAACACCAGAATAACCATTTTCCAGACTTCAGCCTGGCACATGCCAAGTACTCTGCCTCTATGCCGTGACCAGAACTCTACTATTGCACATCGCCTTAGCGACCCTGCTAGCCTTCTTTAGTCAGGCAATGGCCAGACGCAGGAAGGCCCCCTGATCTGCACAGATTTGCCCCTCGCTTCAGGCATTACATCACCAAGATAGTATCAGCATAGCACCCAGGATTATTTGTAGCCACAGACCATTTGAAAAAGCCCAACAGTGACTCTCGTGACCTGGTTAGTGTCACTGCTGTCTTCTAGCAGACTCTCGGTGGGGAACAGCTCTTGACCAGACAAGGGTAAGAACTGGATCATTTCCTCAGTACATAGCAGCCTCGATGCTCTTTGTTGAGGATTCTCCAACAGGCTTGCTCAGGTGTTCTGCAGAGCATGAGATGGGTTATGTTTGGTACCCAGTATCTGAGGCAGAAGACGTTTACGCCTTCTGTAATTACTGGAAAGACCAATATCTAATGGGAGATCCATCTTAGCCAAAAACGGGTCCTTACGGCAGGCGCCCAGTCACCTTGGCTCCTCCGTGTCTAGTGTGAAGAGCGTGCAGCAGAAGCTGGCTGTCTCAGAGCACGGCACGGCGAGTCCTGCCCCACAGGAGACTGTTCAATGCCACAAAGCGCACTGAGGGCGCAGCCCCTCTGCTGCAGTTACGAGCTGGAGGTGCACACACCGTTCTGGGCTACAGGAGCAGGCCGAGTTTCTACTGAATAAGGCTGTTAAACGCTACCCAGCTAGGGCTTGGACGCTGCTGGTCAAAGCTAGGGTGGTTCTGAATTGAAACAGCATCAGAAGCAACTTCAGCTTATTTACAGCAGCTATTTGAGGAGGAAAACACAGCATAAAAGGAAATTAAGAGAATCTCACATGGAATAAAGGCATCCTCTGGAATAGTTTGCCTCATTTTTGGGCACTGTTTTAAAGTTGTAGGAAGTTCTAGCCTGCGGTTTACTTCAAAGTTGGAATACTGTAATTTTGCTGTGTATAAAACATACTTAATCATACTTTGCATTCCCAGATGTAGAAGCTGTAAAATCTCTAGTAGGTATCCTGAACAAGAGTCATCTGGTTCTTTATAGCTGTATGCTTAAAAGACAGGTAAAAAAATCAGATAATTTCATGGATGCTAGGACATCTTAGTGAGATGTAAACAGAGTAATGCAACGTTTACTGATGTAATGTGATTTACACCAGGAGGCAGCAGGGCTTGGTCCCTCTGCATGATTACTTTCTTTCAATAACCTCTGCAGTTAAACTTTCCACTAAGCACATAACTCTGTTGCAGTTCTGGAGTCTGCTTACTCACTGAGACTGTGGAATGAAGCTAAGACTAGCGCAGGTTTCTGCTGCAGAAGTGCAAGTGTGCTTCCTGGGAGGAGGTGTCCAGTCTGGAAAACACAAGCTTCAAAATCGTTAAGCCGAGGTAACCAACGTACGTAACTAACACACAACACAATGGAACAAAGCTTTGAAGCTCACCACTACAGCAATAATCTGCCTAAAGCTTAGTTATCAAACTGAAAAAATGAATTTACAGAAGCTTGAGGGAACAAAAGCACTCAGAATATCACGAACAATGAAGCACAGCCTTACTGCGTAGAAGCAGGACCTACAAAGTGAGAGTGTTCCAACTCCATTCTATGTTCTTGTTTACTACAGGGCACACCTCTCCTCCTCCGCCTAGCCCTGGCACCCCTACAGCAAGGAGTCCTGCACCAATTTGGAGAGGCAGAAAGCTGCTCAGGGCTTCATCTACAAGTTCTAGCAACATGATTTTCCAGTTTGAAACCTTTCAGGGTGTATTGTACACCATCACCACATGGAATGCATATTGCACTCTGACCCCCTCTGAGCATAATATATTTTTACATGTTAAAAATAGACTTCACCAGACAGGAGCCAGCCCTCTCCTTCAGTAAATGTGTTTACACGATTAAGCACAGAGAAAGTGTGACCACGAGCTTAACGCAGCGGTACAGCTCGATACTGGTAGAACAAGCAACTGCTTATTGAGCAGCAGCTATCAGGTCATGATTGTCTACATCGGTTATTTGGTACAGCAGGCACAGCGACAGCAAAACAATCCTGCAGCTGTTTCTTGCCCTGAAAATTAGTAGTTTATTCTAATGACCTTAGAAACAGCAATAAAAGTTAGCATTAGCAGATTCACTAATCAAACAAGGTTTTTTTGAACGTTCCTATATACAGACAATACTTGGTATTTGCCTGCCTAAAGCATCTACATTTATTAGTGCTGTTTGCCAGACCCACTGGCTTTCCTGTTGCCTGTCTTAATATACTTATTTTGGTAAAAGTATTAAATCAAATAGTACTATAAATACAAAGGCACCTCCATCACCCCTTTAAAGTCTTTCCCCAACACCACCTCCCCATGACTTGGGCTTCTAAAATAAGGGACAATATTATTTGCGACCAAGATCAAAAAAGTGTTTGCTTTGACTCCCTGTATGCTGAGTCTCCCCCCTCCCACCCCTAAAACAAGTCAACTGAAGTATTAGAAAAATTCCCAAAAGGGGAACTGTTTAAAAGTTTGGGTAGCTATATCTAAAAGCCTCTTCAAATGTTATGGCTCCAGCAACGCACCCCACTGTGAGGTAGGTAGCCAAGATAAAAATACCGTAACAAATGTTTGTGAACAGCTGGAAACTCCCTATAAAAACCTTGCATAAAGTAGTTTGGTTCCTTGCACCAGTGTCCTGATATGCGTCACTTCTTCTGAAGATGCCCAAGGGAATCCAAATTCACCGAGCCCTCGCCGAGTAGCATCTCATGTACTCTGTCATCCAAGGGTTATCCGGCGGGGAGGGCTTTATTCGCCAAGCTTTCTCCGCTTCTGCTGAGCGCACTCGCCTCTGAGAAAGCTTCCTTTTCTCCACTTGCCTCCTGTTCTTCGCTCGCAGAGCAGATTCGTGAATCTAAGGGACCAGAATGAGCATTACAGCAGGAAAACAGCTTAGGAACCTCCCAGGAAAGCCGAGGGTCACTTTGTGTCTGTCCCAGTCCCCCTCCTGAAGAAACACGGTTTACTAGCAAGACTATAATTTCTTCTGTAATTTCTACCACTAACAGAAGCACAGAAATTTTTTATTGAAAATGGCTCAAGTTCTATTCTGCATGATCTTTTGCACTATTAAACGATTCCAGAAACCTTTAATGTTTCTCAGTCTTACTCTGACATATTCTAAAAACCTCAATTCTCCTATTTCTACCATTTTAAATTCTTAAACATCTCTCAATATGCCCAAGCATCCCTTAAAACCTAAGCCACAGGAGTAAGACCAATCCCTAGAGACTGAAGAACTTAATTTTGACAGGATGCTGCAGGCACACCTACATATATTTTTATATAAGTTATCATATTTTCCCCAAATTTAATCTTAGGAGCCAACTTTTATGCTTGCTTGCGTCTCCAGATTTAAAACTCCATCTCCCTTCTCAGTTAGGGGAGGGTAACACCTTTCAACCACTGAAGAACAGTAGCCTAGCCAGGCAGTAGGTAGTCAGGTCCCACTTAGGGAAAAGCACTATGTAATCGGAAGGGTTTCAGAAGCAGCCTGCCCATTCACTCCAAACTTAAGACCTGATCTTAGGGATTCTGTAACTCTCTCCAGCATAAGAAACGTCAGAAGTCTTAGAAAGTACAACTATCTCTGCTCAAGTCAGACGTCAGCCTCAGTTGGGCTTCAACACAAAGCTCCACTCGACTACTTCCACCCCTGACCGAAGCTTATCAACCCAGTAACAGCATCCACCATCGGGAAGGGCAGCTTCTTTCAGGAGCTGCAAGGCCCAAGTTCCTCATTTCCCTCAGAGCTGTCCAGGAAGGAAGAGGCTATGCTTCCAACCCCTTCCAAAACAGCCCCTCCGAAGTCAGCTCTAGCTTATACATCAAGACCACCACCCACCTTAATCCTCAGACACCTTGAGTCACAGATTCAGACTCAACATTGGCAGCAAGATAAAGACAAGATGCTGGCAGGGATACGTTAATGATTATGTTCTACCAGCCTAGGCAAGCTACAGAAAAGAAAGAAACAGGTGTGTTGCAACACTCCAACCTTAGTGGTTCTTGCTAAGCCAGGAAACAGACCCCACTACAGCAGAATCCTGGTGCTGTCCGTGACCATAGGAATTTTATTTGTGCCATTTTGCTAATATTTACATCAACTCTGCAATCCATCAGCCATCCCATAGGCCACTCTGCTGTCGGCAAAAAGCTCCCAGCTGGCAGCCTGCTAGACAGACATTTTAGCAGCAAAGCAGTCACAGCTCCTCGGCAAGGCTCCTCTCCCTGGGGAGTGCCCCAGCAAAAGTCACTCCTTCACAGCACCAGCGCTACCCCAGTGTTCATATACCTGCCTGCTGTGGGATGCCTGGGGCTAACTGCCTGCTGCTTTTCTCTTGTTTTCGTGAGGTTCAGAATGCAGAAATACATTTCTAACAGCCAGTATTGCTGGTAGCACTGTAACAGCCAGAAACAAGATAGCCAAGTTTTAATCAGAACTTGCAAGTATTAGTCAAACATGGGAAGTTTCAAAAACGATGAACAGTTAAGAGCTGGGCGTGTCAAACCTCTTCAGGTTCATTGCTGGAATTTTTTTTTTTTTAATATAATTTATTGCTGAATCTCCAAGCACTCAAATAAAGGCATCCCCGAGAAGTTTTACCTAGATATTGGACATATCCAGGCACTAAGTAGTCACTGCCCCTTCATGAAACAGAAGCTTTTACTTACTTCATTTGCTGAAGCAGAAGCACAGACATTGTGAGTTTTCTGGCTTCCAGTATCCGTCTGTCTTTCTCCCCACCCATACAGAGCAAACGGGTGTTTGTTCTCCTTTGGTGCATCTGTCTTTTGAGGACTTTTGGCTGATCTCCGCTCATTACGACTGGACAAGGCACTTCGACTCGGACGTCGTCCTGTACGGCTGGTTTTGTCTGCTTCCTTTACAGAATTGTGTTCTACAGTTTTTTCTTGCTCTTCCTTCTGCTGCTTTTCTTGATCTTCTCTTTCTTTCTCTAAAGAGAAAAAAACAACAACGAAGTGATGCTTTGAGCGCCCAATGACAACATATTAATGTCTGATTTGCACAGCCTTTCTTCAAACATCTCTGAAGCTGCAGTTTTTTCAGAAATAGAAGTCATTACTTCCTTAGCAACAGATGTATACCCTGCTTAAATGCCTTCCTTCTTTCCTTAGTGACTACAGTATTTCCAAGCCCATCCCTCTGCACATTGGCTCTCGCACACGTAAACACGCCTTTCACTAGCGAGGCTACAGATAACCAGTAGCTCCAGGCAGCGTTTGAAAGACTGTTTCCAGTAATCTTCTGTCTTCACTGTTTCATCCCCCCATCTTTCAGACAGCGAACAGATGGACTGCTGAACGCCATGTCGATGCTGCCAGCCAGTCAGAGATGAAGTCTGATAAGAGTATCTGCAATATTAAATCCCTCATATTATGAGCTTCCACTGAAAGAAAAGAGTGATTCATTTTCAAGCTCCCTGATTATAGATATGTCTTGATTATGGTTTTCTGTTTACGGGGGAGAGGGGAGTATGAAGCAAAGAGTTACAAGGTGACAGACATCCCCCTTGCTATCTGCTCTGTGAAGCAGGTTTTACATTCAAAGTACCACGCTCTATAGGCAACACTCTCTGAGGCTCATATCCCCCCCCCACGCTTTTTAAACCTTCCGTAACAAGGGCCCAGCGTTTGTGCTCCAGGCATTGTTTATGTAGAGCAGGGTTTGCGAGGGAGAATTTAAAGCCTGTATCATTTTTAATTTGCAGATGCAGATTAACAGTGAAGGCTGAATCAGCATTATGTAAGATACTAAATAATAAAAACACAGCGAAAACAAACTGCTTCATCAGATACAATCTTCTTGCATTACAGAGCTATGGAGGAACCAGTTTTCCTTTGTTCATGGTGCCTCACAGCCAGCAGTTCTTGACATCTTCTGCATATAACTTACATACCAAAGTTTGGGTCTCAGACTTCAGATGAAGGAAGCCAGTATCTGGCATAGCACTGCAATAATTCTTGAATCTAAGAGAAAGGCTGATAAGAAAGTTGTGCCTTACAATAAGGTTCTAAGTTGCTTTGAACAAGTCTGGTTTACAACATCGTGAAATATAGTCAAGCGAGTGCCCATGGATACTGACTGGAAAAGAACAGCCAAAGGTTCTTCCCACCTTTGAGGTCTGTAGGGTGTTACCAACTGGTGACAAGAGGTCTTAAACTACCCTATTAATACTAATCTAAACTAATATCTTTATTGGTGACCCTCAGTGAGTTTGCAGATGACACCAAGCTGGGTGGGAGTGTTGATCTGCTCGAGGGTAGGAAGACTCTGCAGAGGGATCTGGACAGGCTGGATCGATGGGCCAAGGTCAACTGTATGAGGTTCAACAAGGCCAAGTGCCAGGTCCTGCCACTGGGTCACAACAACCCCACGCAACGCTGCAGACTTGGGGAGCAGTGGCTGGAAAGCTGCCCGGCAGAGAAGGACCTGGGGGTGCTGGTCGACAGCCAGCTGAACATGAGCCAGCAGTGTGCCCAGGTGGCCAAGAAGGCCAACGGCATCCTGGCTTGGATCAGGAATGGTGTGGCCAGCAGGAGCAGGGAGGGGATCGTGCCCCTGTACT